CATCAACACCCGTGCCGATGCCCGCTGTTCCCACTGGAAAAGTACCACCACGAATTCTACCTGCTGAAGTGCGCACGGCGATTCAGACCATGAAGACATCCACGACTCCAGGACCAGACCATCTTTCCGTCGAATTTCTGCGAGCTGGAGGACAACGTCTACACGAGATTCTCGCGTCGCACCTGACATCTTACTTTCAGAAGGAGAGGATTCCCGACCAGTGGAGAACGTCAAGAACCGTCCTTCTTTTTAAGAAGGGTGAACGGCAAGATCTTTGAAATTACCGTCCAATATGCCTGCTGAGTGTGCTGTACAAGCTCTTCACGAAGATTATCCTCGCACGCATATTTAGGACACTGGATGAAGCCCAACCCCAAGAACAAGCTGGATTTCGCAAAGGATTCAGCTGCATGGACCACATCCAGACGGTTTCGAGGGTCATAGAAGTCTGCCGGGAGTATCGACTGCCTCTTGTCCTAACCTTCGTCGACTACGAGAACGCCTTTGACAGCGTCGAAACCAACGCCATCCTGTCTGCGCTAATCGATCAAGGAGTGGAACCAGCTTACGTGAGGACACTAGCCGACTGCTACAAGGACTGTACAACAACGATGCAGCTATTCCATCGCCCCCTGACCATTCCAATTGGGAAGGGGGTTCGACAAGGCGACACTATTTCGCCGAAGCTGTTCACCGCGGCCTTGCAGTGGGTGATGAAGTCACTAGACTGGGAAGAGAGAGGCATACGAGTTGATGGGAGATTCCTATCCAACCTTCGTTTTGCGGATGACATCGTCCTTTTCTCGAGCAGTATCACTGAAGCAGAGGCGATGCTGAAGGAACTAAACGAAGTAGGGAAGAAGATCGGACTGCGAATAAATCGGAAGAAGACTCAGTTCAAGAAGAACGACCTTTGCGAAGATGCAGAAATGGAATTGGTAAGCTCCCCTATCATGGAGACGTCTTCTTATGTGTATCTCGGACGTTCGATGAACATGGAAAACGACTTGAGGGAAGAACTTAACAGGAGAAGAAGAGCAGCCTGGGCCGCCTTCAGGCCTCTGAAGGAAGCCACCGACCAACTGACGGACCCGGAGCTTCGTGCCCACCTGTTCGACTCGACCGTTCTCCCAGCGCTCTGCTACGCAGCTGAGACTTGGGCCGACACTGTAGCTACGTCGAAAGCTTTAAGGACCACCCACAGAGCGCTCGAGCACAGTCTTCTGAAGATGACCCGACACAAGCAACATCTAGTCGGACTTCGCAGCACGGATATGAGAAGAATGTCCCGTCTTCGTGACCCAGTGGAAGACGTTGCGAAAGCGAAACACTGATGGGCCGGTCACATAATGAGAAGAACGGGCGATGGATGGACACTAAGAACATCTGAGTGGATTCCTCGCGAAGCCAAACGTCCTCGAGGAAGACCACCGACGAGATGGGCAGGCGTGTTCGTGGAACGGATGGACCAGCTGAGAAATCAGCTGGATACGATTCCCGCCCCTGAAACTCGTGGACGCAGCCACCGACGACGACCAAGAAGATCGTGGATTCCGAAGCGAGGGGCAGGGATCAATGGCAACTTCTGTAGTGGGGCCCGCACGTCACGTGAGGACGGGCCATCTAAGTATCTAAGTAAGTATCTATGTAAAAAACAAATCTTATTTGTTTTTCCGTCATTTTTCACCAATACGGAGAAAATCCAGAAGATCCAATATAGTAAGGAAAAATTTTATGCATCCTTCACATCTGTTCAAAATAGTTTTGAAAACTAGTTCATTTTCAAAACATTTCTTTCATACTATGATGAGCTTTTTCACTTTGTTCTCAAGTTCGAGCTTGTTGGCTGGTTTCTTATTAAGTCCACAATTAATGACGTTCTGATTTTGATTTTGTTCTTGCCCGAGAAAGCGAATACTTGGACTGACTTTATCTGAAAGTTTTGTATCCAGTCAGCTTTTTTTAGGTAGGATCTGATCTATGTGGAGCAAGAGAATACAGCTTTTTGGCAGTGTCACTCGGAACACTTTTCTAAATCTTTGAATGTTTGTGTTATAAAGCGTACATTTACCTGTTTTATGTGGAAATTTACATGAAACAGGTAGGTACGTTTTACAACAAAAATTTTCATACTAGGGAACTAGGGTCCACAAGTGCAATAGATGCGCTTGTGGACCCTAGTTCCCTAATTTCGCCGAGCAGGATTTTCTTCTAGCATTTGGGAATTCTCTTGCGTACTGCAAGGGTTTTTTGAACACCACCGAATGTCAACTTTTTTGTTTTGATAAAACCAAGCAGAAATGTTGCGTGTTACTGACGTATCTATGGCATAAATTCTCAAAATGCGAAGGTCTGTGATTGGATACGAGCAGTTACTCAAGAAAGTTGATGATACAGATAGATTCAGGTACATCTTTTTCTAGTACAAATTCCTAGTCTCAGCATTCCTAAATTTCTAGTTGTTTTAGCATTTCGAACTAAACAGAAGGGCACGTCTACATGAAAATGTTTCACAACAGTGTTTTTAGGAAAGGCATTCTGCTTTATTGAGGCATGTTTCTTGCTAATCAGTTGATATAATCCTATGCTTTTTTTCGCAGAAGACTGCTTGTTTGGCACGGAGATCAAGAGCATACCTATGCAGCTCCAATTTGTTCGAGGATGATCGATGTAACGCCAAATTGATGCTCATGTATTTATGCTATCACGTTACTCATGCAGTCTTTAAAGTCTTGCATAAACAACTTCATACTTTTTCTTTTTTGGTGTCTAAGCTCAATCTTTTTGAAAAGCAAAGCCATTTTGCTGAAAACATACCTAAGTCTTACCTACGTCAATTTGTGGCGGTTGTTTTTGAAGTCTAAGCCCTTTTGGATAGCTGCACCCGAAAGCAAAGCAGATTAGAAGTTTTCTAGTAGACGTGCAAAGTTTCGTGCTTTCTGCACTAATTGATTTTCTGCATACATACGGTGGTATAGTAAGATTGTAATTCGATTTTTTCTCGTTTGCTCTCTTAAGACTGGGCTTTTGCTCTATCTTCTGTATTCCGTTGCTGAGCTCGACGTGTCGATCGCAGTCTCCATTTCAGGGGTGTGACGCCTCGCTACTGCCTCGCTCGCGCAACCTACTTACCCTACCCACTGACGACGTCGACTTATTTACCAGCTTGTCTTTTATACGGCTCTAAACGTGCACCCACCGAATTTTGTATTATATTGGTCCCCATCCCTAACCCCACATGTGTTCACATCATACAGTATGTAAAGATAGGACTTTGCTGGTTAATGTCTTTTTATCCACATTTTCGCACTCCTGCGCCTCATAAAGTGTTTGTGTAAGCTCGCACGAACATCAGGTCTCAAAGAGGAAGTCGTAGGAATCTTTGAATTTTAAAAGGGATATCGTTTTTATAATTCTAAAATGCAACCTTCTGCCGGGCCCTGATAGAAGACATGATACTTTTTACTCATTTGTTGCCTCAAAAGAGGCTAAGGAACACATTCTCAAATCGCGACCAAAAATGTGCAAAAACTCGACCTTTTGAGTGGGTTAAATTCCAGCACACCTGGCTGTTAAGAAAGATGGGCTTTCAAGTCCATTTTATTCCCAGTAGCAAAATAGAGGTAAATTCCATTTTGCCCCATCCTAAATGGACTTTTCGCATGTTTTTTTTTGCAAACGAGAGCTTAGATAAGGTTGAATCATTTTCAATACACCGCTTTGCCACGTATTATAGTTGCGATAAAAAATTATGGATAACGGGAGCGAGAGCAGATCCCGATCAGGCCTCACCGCGAACGAATAAAATGGGATTTGAAAGTCCATTCCCTCCGTTATGGACTTTCGCGGATATCATTCCAGAGCTCTTCAAAATCCCAAGAGAAGCTTCACCTAATAAGTATCATATTCGGAATCAACACGTCGAATAAACCACTGTTAATCAAATTTTGACCTGGAAAAAGATTTTGACCCAATAATGTGCACCTACCGCACCTTCACAACAGCGCGTTGTCTGGTTAGCGATATGATAATCTTTGGCGCTGGGTTGAGTACCTCACTCCTAGACCAAATTTCGGCAAAATACGCGATTTTGATCTCGGCCTATGACTGCCGTAACTCTCTGGAACTGCGCGAAAGATATCAATATGATATCTGGCATGCGAGTCAAACAACTCCCTAACCCGAATTTTGCGATTGATGGCTATGGAATTCTGGAACCCAACTGGAGTAGCGCCAAAGTTGCCATTCGACAATGGTGGTTCCGCGACAAATTGTTACATTCACCGATGATACTTTCCTAACCTGAAGAAAATCCTGTCAATTACTGGCGATTCAGCTTATTTTGCGGCATTGCAAGATGTCTCAACCAACCTTGGAAATCACAAGGTTTTGTGGCGTCAACTTTTTTGAAAAACTTTTCAAAGGAAGATGGCACGATTAGCCTTCTGCGTGAGTGGGATTTGACCAGACAAACTGAATGACTGTGATATTGCGGCCCGATTCGTTAAAGCCTATTTTCGCCTACTCCAAATTTGTCCTCATATCTGCGAGCAATGTGTTGCGTCAAGGAGTTGTGATTCTTTTTCAACCAAAAATTGGGCGTGCCATTGCGATGCAAACTGTTGTAGCAATATGTCTAGCCCATAGGGGTTCTAATGGTTTTATCAATGTATACGACCCGAAAATATTGTTTGCAAAAAGCACTTGACAGTCATAACGGCTTCACTCAAGCTTACGAAAGACAGTCCTTTACACTCTGAGCGTCCTTCCAAAAGCGGCGCTTTGCAGATAGCCACAGGTGGAGTTAGCGTTTTGCACTTCATTGAAAATGTGCTTACATTTAAAACTTTATTTCAAACCTAATATCAGCTGTGATGGAGATTCGACACAAACATAAAAAAAGAATTTTTTTTGCAAGATACTTAGTCGAAATCATAGCCTAAAACCATTTTAAAACAGAAGCAAGTAAAAAGTTAGAGAAGTATGAAATGAGGAACTACCTGATTCAACCGATATTGACTTAAGAGAAATCCAAGGTATTCTTTCCTTGTATCGTTCGATGACGGTATTGAAAGGGCTTGAACCATAATTGTGCATAGCCAGCAGACATACGACAGCAAATACACAGACACCAGTATACTTAGCTGACCAGAACAATACAGGCCTTCTCCAGCTTGTCCATTCCTCTTAAAAAATACCGCGTAGTTTGACTATTGCGTTTTTGTGAAAATTCAACGGGTCTCACTTGTTGTAAATATTAGGTTGTCCGGAAATTAATGAGGTTTTGATTCCCAACCGCAATAAGTCATACAGTGCTCATTTTTTGAATAGGTTGCAAGGTACTGTTCGATAGAGCAAAGCAAGCTCTACAAGATGGCCGTCTTGCTTCAGCAAAAGCTCTAATCCACCACGAGTTTCGAGCCAAAAACTAAAAAGATTCAACAGCCCGAAAAATTGAGAAAAATCGTAACTCAATTCATAAAAATCGTACAAAAATTCTAACTTGCTCACGTAAACACAATCCATATAAGGCATCTATATACGCCGTTGCAGTAATTTTTCTCTGTTAGAAATCAGGAAAACTGAAATTTTCGTGCATTTGCTAAAGTGGTGCTGTGCCGTTCCCACATTGGTAGTTGTATACTACAGACCTTTAGAAGTACAAACGCAAATTTCCCGCTTTCTACAAGCTTTAGTTCGCGAGAAATATCGAATACAGTTTTCTCTAGTCATGTGGTGCAAGCTAAAATATTAATTTCTCGCGAACTAAAGCTTGTAGAAAGCTGGAAATTTACGTTTGTACTTCTAAAGACTTGTACTATACGATTACTCATGTGGGGACGGCACAGCATCACTTTAGCAAATGCACGAAAGTTTCCGTCTTCTTGATTTCTAACAGAGAAAAAATACGGCAACGGCGTATATAAATGCCTTATGTGGATTTTGTTTACGTGAGCAAGTTAGAATTTTTGTAGGATTTTTAACTGAGTTACGATTTTTCTCAATTTTTCGGGCTGTTGAATCTTTTTATTTTTTGGCTCGAAAGTCGTGGTGGATTAGAGCTTTTGCTGAAGCAAGATGGCCATCTTGTAGAGCTTGCTTTGCTCTATCGAACAGTACCTTGTAACCCATTCAAAAATGAGAAATCTATGACTTATTGCCGTTGGAAATCAAAACCTGCCTTAATTCCCGTACAACCTAATAGATCCAACTGCATAGTTGAAAAGTCGTTCTTATTTGAAAGCTGGTCCAAAAACCAAGAATTTATTGCAAACAGCAGAACTACATTTTCTGTTATTTAGATGAACCAAGAATTCATATTAACGTCCGTCTTGCATGCTTTCTCCAGCTGAGGTCTACTAGGCTGTAAAATCAATGGAAGTTTTTAGCGCCATAGATACTCTATCAAAATGAAAACAATCTTTTTAGAAAGTTATAAATATCATCTGAAAGCAGCTTTTTTCTAGTTTCTTGCGCTTTCTTTTATTTCGAGAAGCGTTTGAAGCAAAGCACGCGCCCTGTTTCGTCGCCTTGGCGCAGTTCACCCTGCGGCTATATCTTAGCACTTCTGCCGGTCGAACATTGGATGCCGTGAAGGTGAACATGCTCGTCCGTTTGCATAAAGGGCACACACACAACCTCGTCACTTCGACAAACAAAGGAAAATAGTGCGCCTAGGCAGAAGGCGCACGCGACTAGTGGTAAAGTACGGTCAGTTCGTTTGATGCGCGGGAAGCTTAGCCACAAAATATCAACAGCTGATAAGTGCCGAGCGATTTCCCTGTTTTCTGACACTTCAATGTTCTTTGAAAGACTTCAAAAGGAGATTTTATCGTTCGGAGAAATATCGTGCGATGCCCATTATTGAGCTGCTTTGAAAATGAAATATTATATTATATTATACTAACAAGAGAAGTCAGGTAAATTAGATTCGCGTTTCAAAATGAGGCGCGATATTTGGAATCAGCTTCCAACGCTAATTCTAGATGCTGTTTCTAGCTGCGACACATTGCGCACGAAAAAGCCATGAGCTTTTTTTGTGCGAAATTGGCATACCAGTCAGCATGGGAAGGCTGCGTGCAGATGAAAATCTACTCAAAAAAAGGTGCTGGGGTACTAAAATGACACTAGATTGAGTCTTTAGTCTGTTGAAAAGTAACATAGTAAATTAGCGCTTAGATGATGTATCGTAACGCCTGTAGGTCAAAGGTGATGCAAAATTTGACAGAAAAAAAATCAATAGCTTGCTAGAATGCCGCGCCGCAACTAAGAACAGCATAATTAGAATCAGCGTCTGGAGCTGATTCCAATCGTATGTTTCAATGTGAAAGGCGAATCTAAGTGGCCTGACCTTACTGCTAAAAAGGAGAAGGCGGTACTTTTGTTAAAGCGTGTATGTTGTAGCGTTTAGGCGCTAACACCACATGCAGGGCCCGGCACCGATGGTTTGGGGTCAAACTGGACTTCGTTTTTGGAGTTAGAAGCAACGGGGACATCGTTTTTATGAGGTCCTGGAGGAAGCGCCAAAAAAACACGACGAACATGTCAGGTTTCACGAATTGAACGTGTTCTTTCGCAAGTGCGCGAATTTCAAATGCAAGACTCAAACAAACAAATGGCTTGTTTACAGCGCACAAACAATCACATGGCTCCGAATTTGGGCTATGAGTATACAGTGTTACTCCAAACTATGTTATGTAAAAAGTTCCCAAAACTTATGTGTCCTAATATCCGTTCTCGAATTTGTTGGTTTCTAGACCAACTACCAAACCAACTGGGTTGATTTGGATGATTAGAACGGTCAAAAATCTATCATATATTGAAGAGAGCGGGGGTGGTGCAGGAGGAACCAAAGGCCTGCCGCATGTAGCCGTAGGAGATAATTAAGAGCGCGAGCGCTATGGAGAATACTTTGGCAAGGGTCCAAGAAAACTTGGCAAAGATATCCCTTCGGAACATGTCTTCATAACTTTGCCTGGAGATAGCCTTGAAAATTTTGAAAAACAGATTTATAATGCAAATTGGCAGACGCATTCACTAGGCCTAAAAGTAAGTGAAAATTTGGCATTGTAATGGTAAAAAAAGTTAACTTTCTTATACAAACTTTTTGTTTTATGAATTTTGAAATTACGGATTGTTGAAGACCGGGATCTTCATTCAAATTCATTTTTTTCTTCGAAATAAAGGATTGATTTGCCTTGTGATTCAATGAACAGCAATCAAAATGTCATGAAGACATATCTGGAGGCTTATATCAAGATGCAATTGAAGTTTGTCTCATAACTTCAAACTTATTCTAATTTCAAATCTTGACACTAGTGATTTCAAAGGTTTGCTATTGAAATTATGTCGGTAATCCTTTGGATGTTATACACATTAGAAAAAATTCATCTATTTATCACATGCAACAACTTAGTTAACATTATTTCCTGTCTATCATTCCCTACTTTCACGTTCCAGTACAGAAATTTCCCCTAAAAAATTCACTTAAAATCTTACACACAGCATTGAACCTGAAATTCTTCGGGAATTTTGAAGGTTCACTCTTTGGTAATGATAGGACTTGAATAGTGAGACAGAGTAGTTTATCTATCAGGTAGGCGTTTTACTTAGAAATATGCGCATTGAATACTGATTCCAAATGTGTCCTTCGTATACTTGAAAGTTAATTCTGAGAAGAGTTATAAGAGTTTGTTTCTAATGGATGTCCTCTCCGAATTTTCCTGGATCCTTGCCAAAATCTTCTCCTCAGCGCTCGCGCTCCTAATTATCTCCTACGGCTACAGGCGGCAGGCCTTTGGTTCCTCCTGCACCGCATCCGAAGAGAGCGGATCAAACCGTTGCCTCTCCCCTTTTTTTGAATCAAAAAGTATAATTCTACGCGTTGATAGATATCGCGCTCCAATCACTTGCGGTGTCCTTTGAAATATGTGGCGAAAAATGCATCGCAGGATTGTTGAGGCTACAGATTTGGTTGGCCTAGAAGATTCTCGACATTCCCAGCATCAAAATGGTACTATACCCAATGGCAGAATCTTTAATCGACTCGAAATGTTTCCTTTTTGCTGTTTTGTTATATTACATACCTCAAAATGCGCTTTTTTGGCTTTTTTGTTGCTATTTTGGTTGAATAGGGATTTCCTTACTGTTTTTTCACGTCGAGAGGGACTTCGTAAATTTTCGCGAAGTCATGGGGGACTTCGTTTCCTAAAAGCCTCCAAACCAACGCGTGCCGGGCCCTAACCACATGCAACTGATATACCTTCCTAATCCTTTTTTCCAAAAATAAACTTGAAATTTTCCTAGTTTCTGCGAAATTTCGAAAAATTGCAACCATATCATATATGTCTTTCCAATTACATTTCTTAGGCTCGAATTAAATTTTGAAATTTATCCACTTATTTAGTTGAAAAAAGTTGCTGCATTCTCAACACTTATGGCGCATGAGAGTAATAAAAAAGCGGTTTTTGAAGGGGTTATGCCTGAATTTCATAAAAATGCTTGTTACTTAGATTTGGATAAAACGTGAGAATGTGTCTTTGTTTTGTAGCAATCCTATTTTTTGAAATTAGGCTAGATCGATAGTGTCATATGGAATAACTGCAAAGAGCAGGACGAATTCTAATGCATCACCTCAAAGCAGATTCACCTTTCGTTCGCAATATCATCCTCTCAAAGCTCCCTCGATAGGATTTTTGGTTGAATCCGCAGCAGTCCGTAATGAAGACAACAAACTTGAACTGTTATCTGAAAGCATTTAGTAGATTTGATTACGAAGTATGAAATCCAACAAAAAAACAGAAGAAGCAACGTCAATGTGCGTCGTGATAAACTGTTTTTGAAATTTCGTTTCGCCTGATTTTGTAATTGTTCAGAAGAGAAAAGAATCCGGAACGGTCGACACAACTCATGAAAGTAATCCAAAAACTTTTTGACATTCAAATTAGCATTACATCATAACACACATAGTACAAATTTCCGTAAATGTCTCGCAATGAATAAACCATCTGCAGCGGAGAGTATTTGTCAGGGAACGGCCATAGGTTGCCGGCAACGGTAGCCGAGGTTGCCGCCGGCGTTGCCAAGGTTGCTGGGGATGCCGAGGTTGCCGGCGTCAAAGAGGGCTTGAAGGGAGCAGCTCGGCAGAATTTCGTTTTCCAGATTTTCACCTTTTCGGGGCCTTCTGGTCATGAGAAACCCATATCTGGACTTTTCAGCGCATGAAAATGGCGAAAATAAGCTTTTTTCATGCTTGCGGACCTAGAAACCTTCTGAAAAAGTTCATTTTCGCCATTTTCATGCGCTGAAACCACATATGGGTTCCTCATGGCGAGAAAGCCCCGAAAAGGTGAAAATCTGGAAAACAAAAATCTGCCGAGTCGCTACCTTTGAAGGTGCGCGAAAGGGGGAGGCTACCAGGAGGTCCTACAACGACCGGCAACGCCGGCAACCTCGGCAACGCCAGCAACCTAGTCCTGTTGCTGGCAACCTATGGTCATTCCCATATCCGTAAGTTTTGGAATGCAAGAATTATCGGACTGCAACATTTACTACAACATCATGGCCAAGGCTTTTCCATATATACGAAATTTGATTAACTTTTTCGTTCAATAGGCTGTTATTTCAAGATGTTATCAGGACCCTATAAAAAATTTCTGTGTAAACTTATAACACTTGAGTGGTAATGTGAAATACGCTGTAAGAAGGTGTCACAAACTTAGTTTCGTTTTAGAGTTAAACAGGTTGTTGCAGCAAATGAAAAGATCAAACTATCTGATTCATACAGGGTCTCTCACAAAAAATGGTGGTAAAGTTTTCTAGCTACAAACTCTCTTGTTTGTTCACTTTTACGAAATTCGAGTAGCATATTGTAGGGCTGGTTTCAGGTTAGATTTACGATACAAAATAATACAAACATTGCTTTTTATGACTTTGATTTACGGTAGAAATTTCCAGGACAAAATCATTATTGTGCAGTCAGCTTCCACTAAAATTTTGTAAACTCTAGAATTATTTAGGCTAAAATAAGACAGTCCGTTTCTACAAAAAAAGTTTCTACATGTTTTCACAGTAGTCTAAACAGCATTGCGAATTTTTGTTGATTATGGAAAGAACCGAGATTAGGGACTACGACAGTCGTAGCATCTTATATATTAAATCGAATATCTATATGTATGTGGCCGTATGCCTATGTGTCTGTACGTATTTTGAGATAATAATGTATTAGGTTGTCCCGAAAGTTTTGTCGGTTTTTTTCATCGCTCACCAAACCTCACAGAACACCAATCCATGAACGGCTTAGGTGTCATTCTCTTCATTTTTTGTCCCCTTTCTTACAGCTATAGTTGTTCCCTGATCTATCCCGTCTTTGTGATGTTATCGCAATGGCTTTTTGAGCACCTCAGCAGTAGCGCCAAACTTTCTCAAATTTTCAAAATTTTTATCTTGATATTTTCGACAAGCGCTGGTGACTGTTATGTAGGGCAAACCTTTGACTACACCGTACCCATTTTAGATTACGTGAGCCACGTTTATCGCGTCCGTAATAATTATTTATTTGAGAAAAACCGCGGCTTTTTGAATACGTTTTACCACGTGTAATTACCGAAAATTCCAAAAAGCTGATTTTTGAAGCAAATCAAACTTGGTTATGTTGCATAAATAATGTTTGAAGAGAATCATGTTTTAATTCGCAGAAACTTCAAAAGCTTTCATGCTTTTGCTGCAATTGCGCGTTTCATGACTTTGCTAAAACCCAAGGCCTCCGGAGAAATAATCTTTTGAAGTTAAGATCAGCATATTAGGATTATCTAAAGATACCTCCTTGTAGCCCGAGAGTTGCTCTATTCGATACATACTCAATCCATTTCGAAACTTGTAATGAAATTTTTAAAAATTGGCCTAAATTTGAGTAGGTAAAATTGACAGGGGAAGAATTTTGGCAATTATCAAAAAAGCATACAAGATTATGGTAGATTATGTGAATCCATAAGAAAGAGAAGAAAAAGCTGCATCGAATATATGTTGAAACTCACTCAGGTCTTTACTGTGCGTGGTTTTACAGTGGTTTGAAAAAACCGACAAAACTTTCGGGACAACCTAATATATTTATGAACGCTTCGGGCCACACTTTGTACATATACACTTCAAAGAGGAGCGGATATCATAACTACATATCAATATCAAACGATATAGACTTTAACGTTTTTTTGCAAATTTTCATCTAGGAGTTCGCATAGGGAGAGTGAGCATTCTGAGAATGCACATGACATTGATTTTTTAGAAACGTAATCGATTTTTACAATATTTGGCTACGGAGCTGGGCTGGATTTGGCGCAGGGGGGGGGGAGGGTACGCGTTTTTGCTGGTTAAGGATATATCACTAATTTTTGGAATTATCAGTTAGCTTTATCAAATTTATTGGTCTCCTGCAAACTTTCAGCTGCGGAGCTGGGAGCTGGCATGGTGGGGGGGGAGGGGAGTTGGGTATGCGAGCATGCGATCATGAAAACATAGCGGGGGCGGGGTATCGACATATAGAGGTGGGACCGGTACAGAATTTATCGTAGTGTAATCCTCACAGGGTTATAGGCAGCACCCCGGCATGATTTCGCCTTCCACTTTTTCACCTGCACCCGAAGGCATTTCAGAAGGCTTTTCAGTGCTTGGAAATGGCGAAAAAAAGTTTTTTTCACCCTTCCATGCCCGCAATCAGTGAAAATACGCCGGAAGGCTTTCGCACCTTGCCTCCTTAGTTTCAGGCCCCGCATACTTAGACGTATTTTCCACTGAATACAGACCTGTAAAACAGAAAATTTTTTGCTCACTTTCAATTTTTATGCGACGAAAAGCCTAGATATCGATTTTTCATTGCGAAAAGGCTTCGAATATGAAAAACTGGAAAAACGAAATTTTGCCGTGATACTGCCCTCAAAGGAAGTGTCCAAGCGAAAAGTCGATATCGAGATTTTGTGCTTACGTGGGTTCGCTATGCTGAATCCGAAAATCAACACTGAAGAGCGCGAAAACGGCAAAAAAGGCTCAAACGGGGGGGGGGGGGAACTTGCAGGTGTGCGGGGTTGTTCTCTTAGTGGCATCACCCAGCTTTAGGAGCGATCTTCTAGCTTCCTCTAGTCGTCCTAACATCACCAACAGTCCCGCGAAACGCATGATATAAAATCGGAACCGAGAAGATCGCTCCTGAAGCGGAGAGTGACGTCACGGTGTGAACGACCCCGCCCACCTGCGATCTTCCTCCAGCTTTAGGGCCTTTCTCGGCGTTTTCGCGCTTTCCATTGCGGTTTATCGGATTCAGCATGGCGAATAGGCCCGGGTAAGCACAAAGTGTTAAAATCGACTTTTTGCCTTTAAGCGGACCTGATTACGCCAGCTAATTTCAGTAAAAAGGCGTTAAGGCGAAAAGCTCACACACATAGAAACAATGCCTCTCTACTTGATAGAAAAATTTACAACGTTCCGGACAACTTTTTAACGTGTGCTCTCATTGGCTCTTTAAACTACTGTCATTTTACCGTAATAAAAAAAGAGCGACTTTGTGTTCAAACAAGTCTTCCCGAGCGCGCCTTCTTTTCTATCGTGTTTAATTCTACGGCCAAGCTAAGTTAAAGCGGAGTGGTTAGTACGTATTGCTTCCAAGGGCCTTCAAACAACGGGGTTTCTTAAAAATTTTGGACTCAAGAGATACGGAGGGCGGGCAGGCTTGTTATACGTAGAAACTACCCTTGATACATAGAGCCTTGTACTCTGGTAACCTTCACTTTCAGGAGAACATAATCTTCACCTGGAGAGAAAAAGAAGTCTAATAATCAAATGATCCTAGTCAAATCGAAATAATTTTGAGTGAAAGAAGTGTAAGGAATAATACCCTGACAATTTTACAGCAAAACCAAAAAACTGAGTTTTTATACCTTTTTACCCTGAAAAGAAGGTTTTTATAATCTTTCTTATAACCTTTTTCAGACTATGATTCAAAGTTCACAAAAGCTGTTGGAGTTTGATAAACTAAGAGACTGAGCTTAAATTTTGCACAAAGAGTCGCTCACGGAAATGCTGGTTAATATCATTAATGGTGATTTTTAACCTTGGGACGTTGTCGGTCCTTCTAGTCGTGTCGATAATGAAAATGATATACAAAGTTGCAGGGTTTCTTTAAAACTTCGCAGAGATCTGCGACCAGAGCCAAATGCCCCGTCGGGTCTGGTCTTCCCCTTCCGCTTGTCTGCGCCTCTACGTGTTGCGCGCTACCCCGCTACCTCAAACGCGGGGTACGGGGCATATGGCTCTAATATCCTTTTTTTCCTTGTTGTGAACACAATTTGAGCAAAAAAAATCGTATTGCAGCTTTTGATTCTACTTTCACACTGACAACTTCGCTAGACCTCATTTTTTGACTTCAATGAGAAACCTGGCAAAAACTGTGTTTCCAAAAACTTTTTTTCTTCAGTCTAGTTTTTTGCGAAAAATTGTAAAAAGTGTGTCTTTCTTCAGCTTTTCTCTTTTAGTGTTTTCGCAGCGACTTTTTAACTTGGGCGGTTATGCTCAAAATAATAAGCGCAACAATCCAGACAACGTTGCAGAAAACAGGAATCACATTTTGGGAGTAAAAATTTGAAGGATGCATCAAAAACTAGGTTGGCTTTGACATGCA